ACTCAGATGCTATCTGAGCACAGTCCTGGTTGACTGGCTCTGGGTGTCCCTGCTTGAGCAGAGGTTTGGCCCAGATGACTTCCTGAGGGAGGGGACCTCCAGAGGTCTCATTCCACAATTCCAGTGACAAATGATGAGAAAGAAAAACAGTTCAATTTGGACCTAATTAAAAAAAAAATAAAATGTCTTTTACACCATGTGAGTGTAGGTTATAAGAGACTATGTACATTTAATTTCTTTATTCTGTTGTTACTTCCAATTCTGGCACAATGAGTTGATGGAGATTTTCTTCTGTTCCTGTCAGGTTTTTTGTAAAAGTCATTTAACTTGCTCCCAAAATTCGTCTTGATGGCTTTTAATACTACTGTTAGTTTCTATCCTGGTGATTTTAACTTTGTCTTCATTCAGTAGTGCTCACAACCTGACTAAGTTTGCTTTGGTAACAATGCCTTGAAGTGTTCTGTATGTTTGTTTTGTGTATGTTAAAGTGCTCTTGGAATTTCAAAGGTGATGAAGCAATTGTGAAAAACCAGCATCCCACTAAAAGGGTATAATCCCAAGAGTTTTTGAAGTTAGTGTTAACTTACACATTTTAAGGTGCTGGGGTTCCTTTTGCCAGTCTGTGTACTTTTTAATGTGTACTTATTTTACATGTGACTTGAATGTATCACTTGACTGGGCCAATTTACAGCTTAAATAAACTTTAGTTCTGTTTATGGAATAGAGTGCTTTCTAGCAGAGTCAGCCTAGGTATTAGCTTTTACAATAGCTACAGTTCAATCAAAGAGGACAATATACTTAAGCTGTTTCATATAAAATGCTGTTGAACTTGTATCATAATGCATGCTCATTTTTTTACAACTCTGGCAGTTATCTGCCTTCTGATTATCACAGATTTAATTTAATTATAATTTCTTACCGATTTTAGGTGGAGGCAATATTCTATGACAAGCTTACTAGTTTTGAATGGAGCTGCTTGATGACTAAACCTGTGTGCTTCTCAATGGCTTTTTATATTTGCTTTGTGCTACCAAGAACTAGAGATACTGACAGTGATCTCACCTTTCCCAGGGGTACCGCAGACTGTGCAATTTTGTCTAACCCCTTCAAAAAGGCGTATTTGTGTAATAATTTTTTCCGTTATGTTTGACCATCCCAGGCAGTAGAAGGCTGAGGAGCTGAAGGAGACCTGATTCTGAAAAGAAAATGACACTGCTGATCAAAATATGTCTATGTAGGTCCTACGTATCCAGTAATAGTCTTTTGGTTTTACTGCACTATAACTTGCAAACTTGTGGCAAGCTGAGAAATTTGGCACTGTTTCAGCTGTGGAAACTGGCTCTACAGAATCAGTGTCATTCTTCCTGCCCACTAGTTGATGTAGTCTGAGATGCGTAGTTGCCAGAGGCAACCCCAGCGTTAATGTTGCAGTGGCTGCACTGTAAGAGTGCGGAATAAAAATTCAGTACACAGTGTTTTTGGAGATCTCTGGTATGCTTTGAGTGTGCTTAGGCAGGTGTCTGTCATTTCTTTGTAAGGCCTTCTTAAGTCAAAAAGAAGGGAAAAAAATGTCTGCATGGGTTGTCACTGCTCCGTCCAAAACAGTTGGAATAACCTGGCACTCTCACAACTTTTATTCTAGGAAGATGTGGTAATTGGTGCCTTGAATTTACACTGCTAAGGGAGTTGCTGAACTCCCTGTCCCCTTTGAAGTAGCTCTGACTCCCAGAGGTTGTTGAATTGAAATTACAGGCTTATGTAGTAATGATCTCTGTTTACATCAGTATAGTTTGAGGACTTTATTAGTTAAATTACCATAGCATCTAAAACCCCTAGTTGCAGATCCAGAAGTCCATTATTTTAAGTTGTACAAATGCAAGAAAAAAGATAGTCTTAAGCAGTTGACAATGGAAGTATTGGGCAAACAACAGTAGATGAGTACTCATAATGTGTGGTGCGTATAGTTAGACATGAGCCTGTCTTAAGGTTTAAGTGCTAATCTAAGTTTTGGCCTGGGTGTCATGGAAGCAGGGAGTAAGGTGCTCTTCTTGAGAATAAATACTGTGCTAGTGTAGCCGTATGTCTTCTGAGATGAAGTTGGCATGTATTTGTCTATCTTCATGTGTGCGGAATGCCTGTATCCGTCTTTGCCTGTTCTTGTTTAGATGTGGTCTGTGTGCTTAAAATTTCTCTTCTTTCCTGGTTCTTTCTCTCCCCCATCTTGTTTTCTCAAGGAACCATCGTGATTTAGGCTTTTGCATTCAGGCTCTTAGTGCTGCTTGTATTTTATTTCCCCACTCCCCCAAGGGTAGGGGTATTTATGTTCATGTGAATGTGAACTCCAGAATCTCCTTAGGCTGTTGCATGATTTCTTTTTTTAAAGGATATGACATGCTAATTTAGATCGTGAGACTTCTCTGAATGGTAATAGATATTTTTCAGGTTTGCTATCCTTGGGTGTGTTCCTGTCTGTCAGTATGTCACTAAACTACCAAAAAAGCTGGGTTCTGCAGGAACACTGAAATTCGGTCACCTTATCCTGTTGAGCACCGGTTTGTTACCAGCTATTTAAGTCTGATAGTTGCGAGTCATGAGAGGCTTTATGCAGCTTTTTTTATCTTTAAAGCTTTTAGAAAGAAGGTGAAAGGTAAAGCTTACAGAAGGGTACTCTAGACCTTGGAAAATATTTCACTCTATTCTGAAAGAAATGTCTGATACTAAAAACAGTTCCTGAGCACTTCTTTAGGAAGTATCCAGGAAATGCAGAGGAGGTCATTGCATTCATGTAGCTGGGGAACAAAAGCAGATTATTATTTTTTAATTAATTATCTGTGGTATTAGAACTGACTGTAAATATCAGAATAATTGGAAGAGTATTTTGAATCCTGTCTCATTATTATGCACTTTGTGAAGGTAGGCATGAAGGGACCTTTCATGTCTCAGAAGAAAAACATAACATCTCTTTTTTTTTTTTTTCCCCTGAGTTTAAACCCCAGTTTATCATCAGTTTATAAATTCACTGCTACTTTGTCTTGAAAGAAGCTGTTTTTGAATAGTACAGCTCCTTTTCTAGATGACTGCCTTTCAAAGTGAGCCTCTGAACTTTGCCTTTTTTTTCCTTTGACCATAATTCCCTTAGTAAAAGTAGTTGAGAAGATTGAGAAGCAGAGCTCCTTAAGTTGTTTAGGGCTGAAATTAAAAATAAAGCAATCCACACCTTTGAAAGCCACATTGAAGGTAGCTGCCAGTGAGCCCTGCAGAGGCAATGCCTAGGTGGCTGTTAGTAGAACTCCCAGAGTAACTTCCTCAAAAATGTTTGTGTAGTTCAAAGAAAGTAGATGTTTGGTTTCTTCTGAGTATATCACCGGTCTAAGGTTTAACTGGGTGTTCAGCTGCCTCATTTTAGTGCAGTGTGTGGTATGGGTGATGAGAGTTATTTTTGGATCACACTCTATAAGTAAATGCAACTGGATCCTGCAAGAGCCATCAAGAGGCAAATGGGAGAAAACTTTTGAAGTAGTTTTGTGAATTTTCCGCTTTGAGGCTGTGTCAAATTTGCTTGGATTGAGAAGGTGACTGTTTCATCCACTGTATAAAGCCAGATGAGACATGAAGCTTCAGACAAGTAATACCGGGTCCTCTTTTCTCAAAAGAGCCTCACTGAATGTGAAGCTATCTCATGTGTATCTTCATCTTGGTATTCTCAGTAATTCCCCTTTTGGTCCTGTATTAGTTTGTATCTCAGTGTTTTGTGTCAACACTCTTAACACACTCTCAAAATCAAATGTGAGTTATAGAAACAATGACATGGGACAGATAGTGAGCCCTCTAGCGTAGTAGCGTTTTTGATAGTGGCCAGTATCTTTTCCCTCAGTGTAGTCCAGACACTTCTGTGGAATAAGGTGTCTGGAAAAAGAGTTGAATTCCTTTGTCTTATGCGATTAGTGGTTTTGTTGTACCTTACCACTTATTCATATCACACATAATTTTAATCCAATTTGACCTAAAGCTTGCTTTCTTTTTGCCTTTTTATAATCAAAAAGTAATTGTCATGTTTTCAGTACCAATGAAAATTATTTCGTAGTAATTTAATGTGTAATATTTAAATAACAATAAAGAAGATTCTTAGAAGTTAATGTACATGTGAAATATTGCATAAATATCATGTTTATATGAAATTCCAGTTTCTGAGTTACAGTCTTTTAGTGCCTGTACAGTCTTGCTTTTAGGTGGAATAGCGTAAGAGAGACTAAGACAGCTCAGAACGCTGAACTTGCTTTTTGTGCTGTTATTGTATGGCATTACACGGAAGTTTATCTCTGTTGGAAGATGTGACATGGAAATTTATGCCTCTTGTCTGATCCAGTCTTAAAAACAATTCCTATTTGGTGATTTAACATAAACACAGTTCAGAAAATACACTGCATTGAAGTGTGGCAACTGCAGCTTCTTTACTGTGGATCAGAGTATACGTATAAACAGAGTGTCATCTCTCTTGCCTCCTTCAGATTTAAAAGATGAGGTTGATGTCTGTTTCTGTAAGTCTGTAGGAGCTCATAAGCAGGACAGAAAGCAGTATGTTTCAGTATCACAGCATTTTCTTTCTTTAAACATATGAAAGAATTCCAATAGAGTATTGCTTCTATTCCTAACAAAAATATCCAGCAAAATTTCCTTTTCTGTATGACCATTACCTTCTAGGTATTCAAAATATTAAGAATAATTTGGTAAAATTAACATATGTATATATGAATTTTTGTACCAGCGTGTCTTTCATACTGTTTAAGAGTTATTTGTTCATTGCTGTAATGTATATTATTATAACTAAGGTGATAATATGTTTTGCGTGTAACAGTATATGTACTTAACGTGTATGATCTAGTCTGCTTTTAGAAGTTTATTGACATGAAGTTATATTTTAAGAGTAATTTATACTGTACAAACAGATATCTTTTTCAGATACACATTCATATTTAAAAGAAAAAAATCCCTTTTTTCAGGTCCCTTTACAGATGTAGTAACTACAAATCTTAAACTACGAAATCCATCAGACAGAAAAGTATGCTTCAAAGTGAAGACCACAGCACCTCGTCGATACTGTGTGAGGCCGAACAGCGGAATTATTGACCCTGGATCATCTGTAATTGTTTCAGGTAAAAACAGATAACATGCAGTTATAGGTTAGGTGGGTATAGGCCTTTCATGAGATTTTCTGAAGCTTGATCTTTGGGATTGTTTGAAATATGAGCGCTTTTAAGTATATTTTTTTTAATATAACTGTTCCATTTCATTAGTGCAATGTCAACTTGATGTAGAGCTGCAATAATACATGAAGAATCCTCCATACAGAAATACTTCCATTTGTCACACTTATCTGCAGCTCTGTGAAACGGGCAATGTCATTAACAGTACTTTTGCTTCAGACTACTGCATTTGTGCTTGTATCTTGAAGTAGGGCACATTACTCGGCTGCTCTGGTGTGTTAAAAGTTTAGCATTGGACAGCTCATGTTAAAAAAAAATAGTTCATAACTGTAGACGAGTTGTTTTGACCATAGTATTGGTCTCTGAACTGTGTTATTTGTAGTATTTACAGTAGTACATGTTAACTGGTAATCATTAAATAGCTTTTTAAAAAAAATATTTGCTGTTATTTTAGGTACCTGGAGCAGTTTGTAGCCCTTAAATTTGAAAAATATAGTATGTTTCACTACAGTGACACTCCTTATTTTGTTTTTGGGTAAGGGGACTAAAAAAACAGAACATCTTTTATTTCTCTGAACTTACCCTATTTCACAACTTGGAGAGCCTTTTTATAGGCTGTAGAGATCATAAGCAGTACTGGTGTGAGCTCCTAGATCTCCCAAGTCAAGCAAGATGATTTTTATAGAACCCTTGGAGAGATGCAGCAAAGTGAAAGGAAAACATGGAGCAATCCTCAGAGCTTTTTAGATTCATATCCTTATACCCTTTGGCAAGTTTGAAAGGAGCTGGAGAACTATCTTCAGGTGATATTTTCAGAAGTTGCAAGGAATAACTTCGGAAAACTTGGGGATTGATTAAAACCTTATAGTAACTTTCTTCGTAGGAGAGACAGTGATTGTCTAATCTTACATAATCAGTAGAATGTGACCCTTTAAAATTTCAGTATTGCTTACTGTGGACGGTCCAGCATCTTGTGTATGAAACAGCATTTTTCTGAGAATTGGTTGAAGATTCAAGTAGTCAAAAGCCTGCTTTATTTCTGTCTTCAGCTTAGAGCCATTTTGTTTTAACTGTGCATTTGATCTGGTATTGGGGATCTTTTCTGTATTCACTTTCTTCAGGGAATTGAATAGATTGAAGGATTCCATTTGCCTGTTGCAAAGAGTGTTTTTACAGTTACAAATCCTTTTAATGCTTTGAGTATTTCAGTTTTTCAAATGAGACAGTATTGGAGCTGTAAGCAAGATTTCAGCCTCAGGTTCACCAATAAAGGAAAAAAGTATTACACTGCTTGACTCCACAGTTTGCATAGCAGGGAATCTTTGATATCTTTTTATCTTTTTTTTTTTTATTACTGAATGCTCAAGCAGTTGTTCAGCTGCAGTGAACCCAAGATACAAATTTCATGTGCACTTGTTTAGTCATAGTGACTCCACAGTGCTTTTCAAAATTCTCTTCCCCAAAGTATCAGCTTCATCTTTTCAGTTTTTATAGGCACACGGTTTCTTTTGGTTCACTTGGTAAGCTAAGTGCGCATATCATTTTTCTTCTGACCCACTTTGTTATCAATCTCTCAACTGAATGTTTTCAGTGCCAACTCATCTTTCATGTAATTAAAAGTAGATTTCTCTCACATTGTTATGCAGACAGAAATCACTGTAGGATACCATGGGCTGAAGCTCTGCATTCAAAAGTAAATACTGAGGTAGTGTTAGCTGTCTTCAGCCTGCAGAATATGTTGTGCTGATGTTGATTCAAGCCAATTTTTAAATTCATTGTTGAGATGTGATTTAATAGCCATTTTAGGGAAGTGCATGGGTACTTTGTTTATTGTTCAATTGTGAATCATGTTTATAAGATTTTGCCAAAAATACTAATTTTGTAAGACCTGTTTTTCTTTGCCTTGGTGCCCTAGATTAACTATTATCATATGTACTGCTTGTTGTTAACAAGTGTTGATTTTTCTTTTCAGAATATAGCTTGTTGCTTCTTTCACAACTTGTAACTGTTACTTATTATTGTTCTTTCTTCTGGTTTCAGACCTCATTGACGTATGTACTGTGGAGATAAAGCTCTCCTGTGTAGAAAACCTAGGCCTGTTAACAAGAAGTTTGCTATTTATTGCAGTTCTCCTTGAAGTGATCTCTGGATTACTTGAGGATTCCAAGAACATACTGAAAACTGGATTTGTATATTCATGAGATTTTCCATGATTATTTAAAGTTGTAAAGAGCTTGAAGAGCTTTTTAAACTTGTGAGCTATCTCTTTCTGCTTCTTGTTAGTTCAATGAGATTTTAAGCTGTTACCAAATGGTCAAGGAACGTAAAGTTATTTAACTAGTTATCCAAGGATTCTGCCAGCGTTTGAAGAAGTTCTGTGATGATGGAGAGTAATCTTTTAGGTTACTTGGCTTTTGGAAACTGAAGTACTACAAGCTACTCATTAGTCTGTTGATGGAACAATTCTTAAAGATAAATGGCTATAGCATCCATACCTGGAAGAATAATTCATTATGAATCATATGAATTCATATGAATCAATATGATTCATATTAGTTACTTATGCTTTGATTATGCTGTATGTAACATTTAAGGGGAAAAAAAATATCCACCCTGTAGTAAACACTACCAACTTGTAAATACTATTTAATGCCTAAAGTTAGGTGGCAGTATAATTAAATTTAGATGTGCCTTTTTTTCATAGGTACTAGTGAATTTGGAAAGACCAAGTTAGTAATTTTGGTACTGTACTTAATATTTTATAAACTATCGTAGTTCAATCCTGACATGAAGAATTTACTCTGTGTGAAGGCAAGCGTCTTGAACCAAACATCAGATGAAGATTCAGAATTGTGCAGAATATTATTGAATGGTGAAAACTGTAGCAGTATCGAAGTCTGCAGACTGAATTGGCTTAGAATATATGGTAATAATGTTCAGAGCATACTGAGTGTTTTCTAGCTAAATCAGTATTTCTGCTAGAGCTTTTTCATAGCTGTAAATGAAATTTGTGTGGTCCTGTGCTTCCATCAGGAGTAAGGCAACTTACTGTGTCTGATGGTAGTTTGTTTCAGACAGGGCCTGTTCCAGATGAACAGTATGGTTGGCAGTGAACTACTGGTTGTGTATCCATCCCTCTGCTTCAGTAGTCTCCCAACACTATCATAACAAATCTTGTGTATTCAGGTGTTTCTGCAAGCCCTTACATTATGCACCTGGATATGCAACTGTATCCTATAAAAACTCTAATCTCCTGGTCTGTGTATAGATACCATGTTATTTCAGTCGTTTGAACTGAGGAAATGAGACACAAAATAGTGATGCCAGGGTGACCTGGACAGCCCTTATGATGTATCCATCCAGCAGACTATATGTTTTTATAATTTGGATGAAATCCCTATGCTTCTGTAATTAAAGTTTTCATTTAGAAGTATTGTGATGCTGTTGCTGAGGAAGTCTGTAAATAGTGTCAGCAATGTAGTTTTTTTTTCACAGAGGTTGCGCACATTTCACCATAATAACTTTAGAAACTTACGTTTCTGGTTTTGACTGATGAGAGTTTTTGGCTTTGGAAAGCTGAAAGTACAGCAAAAAGGCTGTAATGCAGAAAGTCTGGACTGCTTTCAGTTTCCACCTCTGGGACTTACAGTGCAAATGGTGCTGTGTAAAAAATGTCTGGTTTCATCCAAAAGACTTCTTTAGTTAATATCTGCATTACAATATGTTGAAAGCTGAAAATGCAGTGAGAAAAAAAAGATAAAATACTAGGAGCAGGTATTACAGGTTTTAATGTTTCACTTAGAGCTGCCTGTACAGGGAATTTGATTTTTGAATCCTATCCTTCTTTCTTCACTGGTAAAATGTGGTGGAGGCTCAAAACTTGCCATAGAATTAAAGTGTGTACCTGAGTTTTGGTATGCTTTTGGACAAATGTTAGCTGATAGACTGGACTTACAGTTAAGAATGTTAAAACCTGAGTAAAATGTGTTCTGTAGTTATATATTTTTAAAGAACTCAATTTGAAAGTGTTTTAAAGATGTGTTATTAAAGCCCCAGGTAGCTTTACGTCCTCTGACTGTAGTTTGAATGAAGTATTTTAGTGGTTTTGCTCACTGTTTAGATTCATATACAGTTAGAAGTTGCACTTGCCCCGCTGCTTGGTGGTCTACCGAATGTAGGTTCATAATGTGTACCTGTCATAACGTGTTCTACAATTCTTTAACTTTTCATTCACTTAATCATAAAATGTTTTTATTCCAAAGAAATGTCCTGTGGTGTTTGCTTGGCTTGTGTTTTGTTTGTTTGTTTCTGGTCTGCCTTAGAGGATTGGTTTAAACATATGAAATGTTTAGCTATAGTAATTACAGAAATAATGGTATCAGCTGCACCAGACTCTGAAAAACTTAAGATTTTTCCTTTCAGTACCTGTTGCTACAGTGTATATCTGCTCTGTATTCCATTTTAACTTTCAGTATTTGCTCAGGGAAAAGTAAGTCTACAGTGGACAGCATGCTGTGTATATGGTGAATTACCTGTCACAGTGACTAGCTGAAGAATCACAGTTCTGTGCTTTGTATTTTCTTTTGAACAGTAATGCTGCAGCCTTTTGACTACGACCCAAATGAGAAGAGTAAACACAAGTTTATGGTACAAACAACCTATGCACCACCAAATATTTCAGATTTGGAGGCAGTGGTAAGTAAAAGTAAAATGACTTGTGTATATATATATGATTTTTTTAATTCCCCTTAAAAATTCAGGCTTAAGTGTAAATGAATTGTGTTTTTTGCAGTTTTCTTTTGGAGAAGAATTGTGTTTTCTCTGAACAAGTATGACTTCCATATGTGATTCAGTTTTTTTAGTATTAAATACAAGCTTGGTTCTTAGAACTGGCTAGTGAACTGATTGAATGGAAATAGTAGTGCATCCAAGGTAAGGTCAGTTCAGTGGTAAAATTTTGGCATGTTATACCTTCTGTGCAGCTAATCTGAAGTGATAAATGTTGTATTTGAAGGAATTGAATATATTTAAACAAGCCTGAAGGTGTATGAAATGGGTGCATTAGGTCTGAAAAGTGCTTAGGAGAAACGTTGAATGAAATTATAATGAATTAAAACATTTGGAAGACTAAGATAAATCTCTGCAAGATACCAGGTGGCTGAACACAGCACAAACAATAGGTTTATTTTATGTTTTAATAGAATATGTTGTAGATTCAGTTCTTAGGCAGGATTGGTCTGATGAAAGATCTAGAAAGAAGCTATTTAGGTTTGTACTTGTTAGTTCAGAAGAAAGGACACCTGTTTCTGATGTTACAAGCTGGCAGTAATGGGAAAGAAGCCTTCAGATATCAGAACGTACCCTGTACAGAGAGTGTGGACTCTCATAAGCACGTATATTAAGGTGGAAGGGAATGGTGCACAGGCATCTGTCTCTAGAGGCTCTTTTAGGGGATGCCTGAATGAAATGTTCAACGTTCATTCAAGGTAGAGGAGGAGACGGGGAGTTGATATCAAGTCACTGAAATCCATTAGACCTGCAGGCTCTCTGTCCGTTTGCTGAAGGCAAAAATTACTGTGGCATCTTTGCTGGAAACAGTGGAAAACCTGTTAGATTTTGTTAAACTTTTGAGACATGTAAGTAGAAAGCTAACATCTCTCTTGATTGTTGGGCAGGTTTACTTTTTATTAGTATGCTTGGATAGCTCTTGGTTATGTGTGGTAAGTGAAGCATAACTATTCGGTAAGGATATAAAATCCACTTTAGAAATACCTTTGAAGTAGCACAGTCTGTTCAAGTACAGAATATTGAGAAACATCTTGCAGAATATCAGTAGTTGTAGTTAGAAGTTACTGTACAAGTAATGCCACTGAAAAAAAAACCAACAGAAAAAGTGTTTGTGTGGGGAAAGGATGTTATGAAAAGCCTGGCTATTCTAGTCTATAAGATTCTAAGGTAACTTCATAGGACCTAATATAGGAAAAATTGCCACAAACTTGATCAGTCTCTGGGCCTAAAGATTTAAGGCAATGACATGAAGTGTATGCTTTGAAAGCTAATTGTCTGTTAGAGAAATTCCAGCATATTTCACAGTCATTTGAATATATTGACAACCATTAGAATTTAAAATGTTTTTTATAAAAACAGCTCTGAAAAATTCTCTCTGCCCAAGTTGTAATGCAGTAAAAGGAGGGAGTGGTTAAAAATCTAAAATAGGAAGAGATAAAGAAATTTACTCTGAAACTAAATACAGAGTCACTAAAAGGTATCTTTCAGTCCTTTGTTTGAAATTGGTGCTTCCAAGATGGGACCCAAGGAGTACATTTACCAAGGAATGGTAACTTTGTTCTTAAACTGACTCATACGGTACTTGTTCCTGGTTGTGTGCTAAAGGAGATGCTGCATGGTTGCCTCCCTGACCCCGAAAAACCTCTGGATCCATCCTGGCATTCAATTTACTTATTTCCATTTCCAGACTTAATCAGCCATTTCTAGCTTTCATTACTTCACAGTAGTCAAAGTGAACCAAAAAAAACCATTGTTCAGAAGCAAATCTGAAAATTGCAGCTAGGGTAAGGACAGTGTTCACCTGTACTAAGTACTAAAAGCAAGCTTATGAACTGTTTAGGTGTTTGCATGAGTGCAGCATGTTAAGTAACTATATTAATTATTATCTTAGTGGAAAGAAGCGAAGCCTGATGAGTTAATGGACTCCAAATTGAGATGTGTGTTTGAAATGCCCAATGAAAATGATAAACTGGTAAGTAAGAAATTGTCATAGACTGACTGGTAGGAATTTGGGGAAATCTGTTTTGAAGTTTTTTTAAACCTATTTGATTTGTTGATTAAAGGGGTTGTAGGAAATTGTACTAAAAGAGACAGAAAGGGTATTCAGTATATAACCTTAGGTATTCATAGGATCTTAAAACAATCCATTTTGAAAGGTACCTTGAAACACCATCTGGTCCAACCATGCTTTGTTGGAAAGGGAGCACCCTATCAAACTGCATCTTAAAAGCCTCCAACAATGGACACTAGTGCCAAAAATGTGTTTGTTTTTTTGTTGGGGTTTTTTGTTTTGTTTTTGTTTTTTGTTTTGTTGTTATTGATTTTCTTGGGATTTTTTGTTGTCAGATTAAAAAAAAACCCCATACAATATTGTGTACAGTGAAAAGTGAATTGCATCATTTTATTTTAAAGTATTGCATGCTTTTCAATTTTAAAAATCCTGTTTCTAATTCACCTTGATCAGAAAAGGAAGTATTAATTAGAAATTGCTTTAGGAATCCTAAATGCATTTTTTTTTTTTAAGGTAATGCTAAAGAGAGATAATCAGACAAAAAAAATAGTAATCGCATTGCCTCTTTCATGCTCTTGCCTTCACACAAAATCTGTTCCAATTGTGTAGGAGATGACAGTTTCATTGTATACAGACTGAAGATCTCTGTGTTGCCTGATATTTGGAGTAATAGTTAACTGTCAGTTACCTAGAAGTATTGTAGAGCATGACTGCATTCTTATGCACAAACTTTTTATTTACCCTTATACTTGAAATTCTGATTTATATAATCTGGTACTGTATATTCTGGGTTGTTTGGGGTAGTGTTTTTTTATGTTTTCCTTTATTATTATTTTATTAGTTTAATGTAGCATCGTGAGAGTGCTAAAGTGCTGTTTCTGTAAACAGCCTTATTCATTTTATGACCTTGACTTTTAGTGCTGTCCAGCTTTTACAGTAGTCTGTAAGGCATGTTGTGGGAAAGTAGTATGAATCCATACATGTAAAAACCATCTCATTATTTACATACGCAAAGCGTCTTGGTGAAGGCTGTTAGCTGACCAGTAGCTGTGTTTGCAACATTTCTTTTAATACAGTTTTTTGGACTGTAATGTAAAGATGTTTTTCAGAGGCCATGTCAGCATAATGTTTTTGGTGTACTTTCCCCCCCTTTTTTGGTGAAGGATAATTTATGAGATGTACCCTTTTATTTAAGTGTAAGTTGGCTAAACATGTTATTATTATCAAGGCAATTAATTATCTACTTTCTGCATTTTTTACCTTCTTAGTAAATTAGATATTAGAAAAATTACACTTGTTTTTAATTTTATAAAACGTATAATGTAGAGAGAGAAATGTAGTGGATTATACAGAACGAACTCCTTTTCTACTTCCTTTAATGTTGTATTTTCAGTGTTGGCTGTACGTAGCATTTGTATTTTTCTGAGTAGCAGCATAGGGTTGCAAAATCCTGCTTCAGCAGTTGATTCAGTATCTTAAATCTGGCAATGAGAAATCTGCCAAGTCCTGAGGGTAAGCCTTACCTGTCACCTCAGGATATACTTACATGAGGACACAAGTATTTCACTCCAGTCAGCAACAACTTCCTTCAGATGCTCACCAGTCATAGCCAGAAGATTGTCATGAAGAAACCAGTCAGGGAGGTCAAACAGCAGAAGCAGAGAGGTTTGTTCCAGGGAGATAAGTCTTAGGTCTGTCGTGAAGTTTCAGTGCTACTAAAGGAATTCAGTTCAGCTAGCAAACCAATTAAAAAAGCAACAGATCCTGATCTGCTTTCTCGTGATGCAAATATGTTGGTCCTTTTAAATCCAGTTAGGAGTACCTGTGTGCAGTAGCAGGATCTGGCTGTTAGGCTGTGTATGGCTGCATTGCAAAAAAAGTAAAGTGCAAGTAGATGCTGTAGACCAAATGACTTCTACTTGCATAGGAACTAAATAAATTCTTGCATCTTTTATTTTTCAGTTGCTTCACCGTTAAATAGATGTGTTGACCTTCAAAGAGGTTTTCTGTTACACTTAGTGCTTACTTTAGGCTGCTTTGGTTATGAGAGATGCAATTAGTGGTTTAAATGACATAGCTGTGCAACCAAGCAACTAGGAATAGAAAAGCCTGAATGTGAATATGAGCTGTTTCTGAGTGTATTGCTATATGAATGTTGTGTTTTTACAAATAGTAACCTGGCTATACAGTTGGATCTGTTGTATTACTAATGTCTGATGAAGATTATTGTAGATTTTGAGCAGAACCGTGGTAACCGGTTTTTTCATTCTATTTTTGGCTTTTTCACAGCTTTTTATGTGACTTTTCACTTGTATTGAAAATTAGTAGTGTGTTAGAACTGCTGTGAAACTTAAATCCCATGTTTGTTCCTTTTCTTTTTTTCATGCCATCTTTTGATTGCCTGCTGTGTCAGTTTTAAGCGGCTAAAGTATTAATTTTTGTCTCAGTAGCATGTAGTGCCAACAGTACAATCTTCTCTTGCTTTTTAATAGCTGAGCTAATCAGAATTGAAGTGTTAACAGAAGTCTTTGTTACAGATTACTGTAAATATAAACTTCTTTGAACTGTATTAGTATTAGTAGCTGGATTGTTTCAGTTTTAAAATGTGGGTGATTTTTCTAGGTAAGTAAAATTCTCAAGTCATTCTTAATATTTGTAGAATGATATAGATGCAAGCAAACCTGCCCCAGTACTGAATACATCTAAGCAGGATGGACCGATGCCAAAACCCCATAGTGTTTCACTTAATGATACTGAAACAAGGAAGCTAGTGGAGGAGTGCAAAAGACTTCAAGCAGAGGTTATGAAGCTGACGGATGAAAATCAGCACCTGAGAGTAAGTTCTGCTCACATGTTTATGTTGTAGTAGTTTCACTCTTCATTGAAAGGTCTAGTTTTCAGTTAGGCCAATAGATGTGTATTCAGAAAGTAGATGCAGCTGTTAGAATGTCAACATTGACTTGTAATAGTTTTCCTGTCCTGTATATACTGTGTATTTTGAATTTCTCAGTGATTGACACTTTGTGATTGTCCTGGATGAGATACTGAGATACATAATTTTCTTTATTTAAGGTGGGTTTGGTTACTTGAAGTCTAAGTCAGAGATACCAAATTAGTAGCTGTTATTAAAGTGCATGATTATGCATTAAGAATGAGTAAATGAGATACAAACTGGTTACATTCTGTATCATAAATTGTTAGTGAACAAGAGCAATGGTTTGGCCAGAGGAAGTAACCTAAAACAACTTTCCACTACTTTTGTTTAAAAGTTCTGTTCAGTAACCTGTAACTTCTCAGTACATAATTTTGTGTGTCTTTCTATATATTTGCTTTTGGGTATCTAACAGTGTCATTGGCCATAGTAGACTTTTAAAGAACCCTGAAATGCTGATGTCTCCAAATCGTTAATTCTGATGACATTGGAATATTTGGAGAAGTACTACACAAAGCAGGTGTTTTTCATTCACAGTAAGGAATTACTGCTATTTAATTCTAATGCATAGTAAGTAAATCAGGATTATTCATTGTGTATAACAAGAATTTCAGAATCTACCTTAACGAACAGGGAGGGAGACTAGTGGATTACCTGTCCTTATTTGAAATGTTACAGTTTGCTTTGTTCATATTTTGGATTTTGATGTGGTCTAAGGTTGGGGGGGCAGGGAGAGAGGTTTATGTTTGATTTTGGGTGTTTTTTTTTTTTGTTGTTGTTTTTTTGTTTTGTTTTGACTTTATTTAAATATTAACCAGTAAATTTGGCCTTTGAGTTCAGTTTTTACTATTGTAAAGAAGATGTGTTCATAAACTTTTTTCCATCTTTGTTGTTCCCCTGCTCCCCCCCCCAGGATGAAGGCTTGAGGCTCAGAAAGGTAGCGCACTCGGATAAATCTGGATCACCCACAGCTTTGGCCCTCAGAGATAATGGCTCTAATTCTCTTCCTTCACTTCTTGTCGTAATTGCAGCCATTTTCATTGGATTCTTTCTAGGGAAGTTCATCTTGTAGAAAGAATGAGTGAGAAGCATGCAAAATGCAGCTTCCTTTTTTTTTTTTTTTGTTTCTTTTTTTTTTTTTCTTGGCCAGAAAAAGATTTGTTTACCTACCACTTCATTGGTAGTATGGCCCAAGTGGCCATTTTTGTGTACAGCATCATAACAGGCTTTGCCTTTAATGATCTCGCACGGTTAGAAAACACAATCTTGAAAAGACAAACTGTTCGGCTACTGGACAAAATTGTACATTATGTCATCAATAGCAGGTGTCAGTTGCACAGTCAGTCCTTTATGAAAATTCATAAATAAAGAATTGTTCTTTCTTTCTGTGGTTTTAATAAGAATTCAAAAATTGTTCAGAGTCTTGTAAATGTTATTTTAATAATACTTTAAAATTTTATCTGTTGCTGTTACCTCTTGAAAAATGATTTATTAGATTGCTAATCCCACTCATTCAGGAATATGACAAGAGGTATTCTGGGGAAAATGGTGCCTCTTACTGTGTAAATTTTCTCCTTACCTTACTTTGCTAATATCATGGCAGAATTTCTTTCTTATTCCTTGTGAGGCATTGTTGAGAGTTCTTCACCCTTACAATCTTGTCCCATAATATTTAACATTACAAAAGAAATAAAATTGTTAACAGATTTTTCTTCTGGGTAGCCTGTTTGTGTGTGTCGTACTTTTAGAGGGGATTCCTAACAATTCATTGTTTATGGTAATTTGCTACTTGTAACAAATGGCTATTTTGGAGTTTATTTGCTTAAGTCTCTGGCTTAGACTGTTGTAATTGAAGCTTGGGGGGTGGGGAAAAATGTTTCCATTCTATTTGTTTTTTTTTTTTTTTTTTAAATAGACTTTCCTGGCTGGTTTCAGCTACAGAAAGGATGGTTATCAAACTTGCTCTGGGACAGAGTAATTTGCATATCCAGCAGGTACAAATACCAGACGTGAATGTTTTCAATATAATAACAATTTGCTTGGATTGTGTGGGAGTATAATAATCAACCTTCTGTTCCATCTTTGGGTTTTCTGGGTGTCTTCCAGGAGTCAGAGTTATTCTTTGATTTCATAAGGGTACTCAATTCACATACACTAACTTGCTCAGTTTGTCGTTCTGTTTTACCTGGTATTTGAAAGTGCAAGTTGAATCATTCAGACACCCATAGTGAATTCCATGTTGTGGAATAGCTGATACTTGCTGAGTGAGCCTCAGTTGCTTACTTTTAGAAAACTAAAACCACTTTATGCAACTCTTGGCAGATCTGCCTGTGTTAACAATGTACAGCTAAGTTTTAGAGAATGCATCTGGGGAGGGATCTGAATTGCTTCCCTGCACTTAATCTTATGTCTTGTCTTATCTCTGAATATGTCATAAAACCAAACAACAGTATTGCAACAAAATATTACCTGTACTTCTGACTTGCCGTAATCCAATACAGGGAATTACTTGTAAACTTGAAAAATTATGGAAGGGATATACTCCTGTAGGCAAAACTGTGTATGCTCTTGGACAGTTTGACTTGATGTGGAGCAGCTAAGTGTGTTAGACCTTGGTATAAGCACACCTCATGTAGCTGAGAAAAATATTCCGGAAAAGATGTATGTTATCTTGATTGCCTTTGATTTCTAGTGCCTTTTTTTTTTTTTTAAACCCAACCAAACAAAAAAAACAACAAAACCCCACCCAAATTATAATTACATCACGTTCTGTCATTGCTGTCTGTGATAAAAATTTTTTACAAAATCTTGCGTATATGCAAGGAAGATGATGAAGAAAATGCAAATACCACTTTTCACTTACGCATGCAAGCACAGATGTTTCCAATTACTTGTCCCAGGGTCTGCATTCAAGTCTTCTTCCATCCCAGTGGCTGGAATAACTTATGTTAAAGTCTTGATTATTTTGGTTCCGCTGGTTCAGAATGGTGTAATTCTCCCGATCTTTTTTTTCTAACAGAACATTGCCGTATCAAACTTTATAGCCTGTTCCAAGCTGATTACATGGAAAATAACTAAAGCAATGGTGTGCAGTATGTAGTTTGCTTCAGAGAGAGCAGTCATTCCTCCCTTCAAGGGAAAAGAGGGGAAAAAAAATTGTCTGGAAAATCTTAAGTTGCTTATTAAGATACTTACTGCATGATGTATGGTAGCTTTCAAAGGTAGCTAGCACTTTCAGGACTTGAGAGCAGAAAAAGGAGTCACTGCTCAGTGCAGCTGTCTTAGATTTTTATATCTGGCAGCAGAAATAAGGTAAAAATGATAAAATCAGGTTGAATTTTTTTTTTCATAAATAACAAACAGCTGGTGGTAAAACTTCGTCATAGCTTAAATAATTTCTTCAAAGTGAAAAGTGTGCAGCAGTCTCGTAAACATTGTACTTGCTAATGGTATAAGGAGACTGTCTTGGTTTCCAGTAATCCCTTCATAGCTGTATATAAAATGTAATGTTGAAACTATTTTGTTCTCAGGAGTCACTTTGGATGAGATCAACTGTATTCAGTGAACTATGTAATATGGATTAAATGGTTTGTCTTTGCTCGTGAAATGGTTAGAACTTCTTGCTTTGTCTACCTGCTTACTTGTGTATGTAAGCATGGGGGGAATACAGTCTCTCCACTGCTTCTGTTGGTATGATCAAATGATGATGCTCATAAGGTCGTGTGAGGATAAATGCATATCTTTGGTTAAGTATGTATTGTAGATCACTCTTCTGATTTCTCAAAAGGGCAAGATGGAAAAAGTTCATGATATCAAGGTAGTGTTTTAAAATGATTACATTTTATAATGTAATACTTTGCAAAAAAAAAGGTAGTATGTATGGTGGTTGGGAGGGGGGAAAGTGTAGTTAAATAGAAGATACAGTTTATGTAATAGTTTGAGACACCAAATTTAACCTGCTTTTATATATATATATATATTTGAAGTTCATTTAAAAGAAAGTTATTTGTATCAATGCACAAGTCGTAAGTAACTTATGCATTTCTGTGCATTCTCTAAAAGCTGTTGATAAACACTATTGCCCAGGCTTGTATGTTGCTGCTGCTGTGATTGAAGCTGATTTCCATATAAGCAACCAAACACTAGTTTGAAATTTCATTATCCTCTTGGGAGGAGGGATGGTGAAGGGAGGAGGTGGAAGGTGACATTTTGCCAAAGGGGAAAAGACAAAATCAACATGCAAAATTTATCTTTCAGGCCTTTTTCAAAGATATTAAAAGTTAAAGTGTTAATAAACTATTAAAAATGTGGAAGTGTCCTTTTCATTTTGGAACTTCTCCCTGGCTGTATGTTCTGTAGACTGCTGATACTGAATAGGTGTTTCTAGTCCACCTTGCAGGTGGTGTAACTGCCCTAGGTGCAACTTTTTCTAGGTACTGCCAGTAAATAGCATGAAGCTGCTCTGGATGAAGATTCAGTGTTGAAAGAGCAGGTGCCTGAATCCAGGCAACACTAAGGAAACTGATGGTTTATCAGATTTACAGCAGCTGTCATGACAAAGAATGTTCTTGTTCCTGTTTGGAGTCCTTAGGTATTTAAACTGGCTTGCCAGGGCAAACTTCAGTCTGTGCCAAGAGGTAGAACAAGAGGTACACAGTTACAGAGCAACCCCAATAAACATTTACTGTAACACTGAAATGTCCTGCTCTGTGTGGGATTGAAATTCTGTAGCTTGTCTGTTCAGCCACTTGCTGTGAAAACAGTTTGGTGCTTTGATTTCTGCCCTGGTTCTTGTTGGAGTGGCTTTGTCGGTGTGTCCTGAAAGGCATGTCCACATGTAGCACTGACCACTGTTGCCAGGGAGGCTTCATCTTTGCTGATTGTGAGCTGCTGTGGCAGATTCAGACTAGTGGCACACTTAAATGTTGGACAAAAGGGGGAGCTAAATGTAGGAATCAGTTTTCACAGGGGCTAGCTTCTGTAGGAAGGACTGGAACTAATGACAATTTAATGAAACCAATTTCTTTATTTCCTGTCTAGATTTCTTTTACAGGGGCACTCAAATAATGTAACCAAGGGTCCCGGGTTCAGCAGTAACAGTCATTTTTCTCCTTAGTAGCTGGTGCACTGTGCTGTGTTTTTGACTTTCAGCCTGGGAACAGCGCTGATAACACCGATGTTTTTAGTTGCTGCTCAGTAATGTTTACTCTGACCAAGGACTTTGAGTCTCATTCTCTGCCAGGGAGGAGGGGAAGCTGGGAGGAAGCAGAGACAAGATACCTAACCCGAGCTAGCCAAAGAGGTATTCCATACCACAGCACATCATGCCTGGTATATAAACTGGGGGTAGTTACCTGGAAGGCCTAGATCACTGCTCGGGTCAGGCTGGTTATTGGTTGGCAGGTGAGTGGTTGTATTCTCTCCCCTTGTTATTTTCTTTATCATTACTATTATTGGTGGTAGCAGCATTGGTTTGTGTTATACCTTAGTTACTGGGCTGTTCTTATCTCAGCCCGTGGGAGTGACATTCTTTTGATTCTCTTGCCCATTCCTCTGAGAGCACGGGAAGGAAGGTGGGAGGGGGGGGGAGAGTGAGTGAGCTGCTGTTTGTCAGCTGGGCTTAAACCATGACACCAAGTATGTGATTGAAGTTGGTCTGTTGTATGGTTTTTCAGTGCAGGTTGTGTGCGTTTTAAGAATTGCTCAGTCTGACAGGGCTGCATAAGCAGAGGTGGTGATGGTGTTGTCAGTCTTTATTTGCCCTTTAAGTGACAAATGGATATGTAGAAATGAGGTCTTGTGCAAAAGCAAAGTACTTGACTCTTATCTGGATTCCTCATTACTGCTAGATGGTAAGGTCAGTGCCTGTTCCTCATTTACAAGGGTTTATGTATTTGCAGGTGACCTGGATCTGAAAACTGTTACAGATGAAATCTGTTGTTTCATCCCCTAGAAATTATGCTTTAACTAAATCGCGAAGTAAGCATCTCCCACCATATTACAGTGCCAGCTTGGTACCAGTTTATGTAATGTTGATAACACTGCTAGCAGGGTATTGAATCTCTTTATGCAGTAGCTACTTCTGTTGCTGGCAGGGTGGAGTGCTGTACTTCTCTTCCTCCTCTTCGGAAAAGATTGCAAGGGTGTTATGGTATCCAGGCACAAAGGTGTGAGGCAGACTGCTGTTATTATAGATAAACAGTCTGAGCTCTTAACACTTGAAATAAATGAAACATGAATTGAAAGGTGACTGAAGTAGTTATTCTTAACTTCTAAACTTGTGTATAAGAAAAATTCGTGTGAGTTGTTTTGATTTGTTTTTAAAAGTTAGTCTGTCATTCAAGCTCTAAAAACAAAAAGTTGCCATAGTCTGGGAATAATTATTTCATGCTGTTCTTGGAAGTTTTTACTAATGCTATTGTAGGTTCACATGCATAAGTGAATTCGGATTGTCACTGGTGATCAATGTCTAGGCTGTTCTTGGAGTGGGTAGTAATTAAATAGCAATCTTTTAAGTGTCTCAGTCTGCCTTGTAAGGAGAGTTTATCCTCGCTTTAGAGATAGGGAAACTGAGGCGTAAATGTTGGGACAAATGAATGGGTGGGGAGGGTTAGGCACAACTCCTGTTCTCTAGTGCGTGCTCCATCCTGTTTCTTATCAAGTCTTCCTTGAGCCTTGTCCAAGTCTTCTATTTGTTTGCTTTTTAT